ATAGTAAAATTGGACCGAACAGGCCGATCCAATTTGGAACTGATGAATCAGACACTAGTCCGATCGGATTGATATCCATTAGCAAATGAGCCAATCAATATCCATGCGAACTAAGCGGAACAAAGAAAATTGAATTTATTCAATTGTAAACTGGTTAGTCACTAATTTGATCAAGAGACTGGTCGAATATTTTTTTTTTTTTTAACTAAAACTCATTGCTATGTATATCGTCTCTTTTTTTAATTATTATTTTTAACTAAATTCGATCTACCTGATGGCTAGACTACTAACCCATCGATTGAACCGTTGACCCGATGAACCAATAATCTATCCGATTCGATGATCGAATTGGGTCTGATAACTATGATTATTGGACAACTTTAGGTTACTTTCTTCATAGTGATTTTATGCTATGGCTGGTGCTTAACAAATTGAGTTGAGCTTCCTCAGATCATTTTAACTAATGACATCTCGTATAAATTGTGATCGAAAGGTACAAAGGTGCAACAATGTGTAGAAAATTCAGATGTAATTTAAATTGTGATCCATATTAATTAAGATGTAATGCTTGCTATACCATGTGCTGTGTGATTAATGTGGACCAATGACTTTCACTATCCCATACTTCACATTTATTAGTGTAGTCGAAGATGATGGATGATGATAAACGTGACCCTTCAAATAAATTTACTATTTTCAGCGTGACACTTTACAGATATGATTGTGGGAGTGTGACTCTTCTATTCCACATTATTATGACCTATTTAGAGTGGCGCGTGACTCTTCTCTTTCAGGTATGACAATATAAAAAGGCCGTGTGACCCCAATTCACACATCAACGATCACAAAGACCGTGAGTGAGAAGAAATAACTAATTGTTGACAATTTAGGGATAGATTGTGGGGATATAAAATATCTTTTTAATTATATAATTAAACTAGGCAACATCTCATTAAGTTAGGTAATTTTCAAATTGGTTACCGAACAGAAATCTTAATCAATATTATCTTCGTGACAAGAAGTTGTGCTTAGGGATAGATTGTGGGGATATAAAATATCTTTTTAATTATATAATTAAACTAGGCAACATCTCATTAAGTTAGGTAATTTTCAAATTGGTTACCGAACAGAAATCTTAATCAATATTATCTTCGTGACAAGAAGTTGTGCTTTTTTTTTTTTTTTTTTTTTTTTTTTTTTCTTTTTGTGGAAATTTTACGATGTTACATATAGTATTTCTCTTAACATATATCCGTTAAAAAAAAAAAAAAGGAATTAACCGTAGAATAATAGAAGAGAAAAAAGAGAGAGAGAGAGAGATTTGACTGTATTGTTGATCTTGATGGGCCTGCCAGGCCTTTTACGAGCCATGGGCCTTTTGTTTCTTGACGCCCTAAGCCAATCAGCCCAGCTGAAAATGTTAATTATACCGAGGCTGTAGAAGGCCCTTAATAGCCCAATCAAGCTTAACAAGCTTCAAAATGGGCTAAAATTGGGCCCTAAGCCTATTACAAATCTTCACCTTTAGCCCTTATTTGAGCCACATTATTTTCATAAAAACATATTTTTGAATAATGTAATGATGAAAAATGTGTGGTTAAAAAATAAATAAAAAATTTAGATTTGCATGTAATATTATTTTATTGAAAAAATTATGGTTGAAATGATGTCAAATAACTGTTTAAAAATATATTTTTTTTCCAAATAATGTGGATCAAACATGGCCTTAATTTGAAACAATAATGTTATTTGCAATTTACTCACTACCTAGTCGTCTTACGAGACATACATATAAGGGTTAGTAATTTGTACTATCATAGTCGTTCTATGTGACATACATGTGACGGTTAGTAATTTGCATGTGGTATACATGTGACAGTATGTCACGTGGGACGACTATGTTAGTAAACGATTGCAAATAACATTATTCAATTTGAAATGGACACGTGCACATTAAGCGCATGTTGAAGATAATTTTAAAAATTATTAATAATAGAAATTAAAGTCAATAATTAATTTTCACATTGATAAACTTTTATCAAACACTTTGTCAAATAACCCCTAAATAACATCAATATATTTTGAAGAAATCACAGTATCACACACATAATTCAAATTTTGATGTCAAGTCTTACAATATAACTTCAAAGTTCAAAGAGGAATATCTATATCTATATGAAGATTCGAGCTAGCAACCTCCTGAAATCAAACGACCCATCAAAATTTAATTGAAATAATAGAACTTTCGCCTTAAATACCGATACGCAAAAGTAGAGTTGACAAAAGTAGGTTTTTTGGATAGTAATATGAACAATTTTTAATTTACAACATTCGAATAAGTAAATACAAATTCCATAATTTTCCAACTCCAGATTAATCCTTTGTTTGAACAACGTCGGTATAGGGACCAAACGCTTTGGAAGAAACAACAAAATCCTTGTGCATAAATGAATCATATAAAGGAGGATTTGATTCATTAATCAAAGCTTTGGCTGGTTCTACTATGCAATTTGGAGAAGGATTAATGAATGTGGCAATGGTTAATCTGTCTTCTTCTGAATTTGTCATTACTCTGTGTTCTGGACTTCTTAGCTTTCCATTGCTCATAATCTACACCAGAAGACGTGAGTGTTAGACTTGACAAGATTAAGGAAGGGAGATGTAAGATATTGTCCGTTGACGTTCAAAATATGTTTGAGCACCATTTTGTGTAAACATGAGTTTTGTAATAGTGACTTTTTGAATAATGTGCAGATTTAAATGTAAATTATTTTATTGGGAGAATGGGTAGATGAAAATGAGGGAAAAATGAATTTTTAGAATATGGGGCTAAAACAAGGCTCAATTGTTTCTATTTTTACATATTGAAATAAAATAAAAATTAAAAAAAAAAAAGAACTTTTGTAATATATTGTCAAATTCACTTGAGTTAAAGTCTCATCGTAATGTATTTTTTTTTTTCCGATTATGAGAAGTCTTCACTCAATTTTCTACTTTCTTTATCGAATATAATTAAAAGGGTGTAGCAAAAAGTTATTTTTATAAACAAATGAGCAATACCTCTAAAATAATTGAACAATTGAAGTATACCTCTAATTGAGTGCCTATGTTGACCACAAAGGCATTAGGTACAACCCCAACTCCAATCCACTTGCCATCATGTAACACTTGAAGTCCCTCGACATTTCCTTGAAATAGTATTGTTATAAAGCTATGATCAAAATGTTTTAATACTCCCAAAGTCACACTTGGGTCTGGGCATGCTGGATAATTACTTGCTGATAGAAATTGGACTTGACTTATTTCTTCAAAGTAACCCTTTTCAAGTCCCAATCCTTCAGAAATCAGCTCAAGAATTCTCCAACTCAATCTTCTTATTTCTTGTACATATGTTGCCATCACTTCTCTGAAAATCGCCACTAAAGATATTTGTGTTAAATGCGTTCATCATGCCACGAGTTCGAGAATTGTGTGTGAATCGTGTACGTGAACATTTTGGGTTCTGAAACCCTTGATGGTCACACACACGTTTACACTTTACAAACTCACACATGCGTAATTGTGTATCGGGCCTTGAAACTCATGATCACAAACTCACGCTTACGTAAGTGTGTTAAAAACATTTCTTGGAAGAGAAATAAATTTTTTTGGGGTTGGAAGGGAATTTTGAGACATCACCTGTACCTAGTTGGAATTTGAGGCCAACGTTGCATGCATTTTTCCAAGGGGTGACATGGGTGTTTAATGTTATCCCTCCACAAATGAACACCATCAATGGCAAAACTGGTGCTGCCCATATGCACCCAACCATTTTTAATGGCATCCCTTGAAATTTCCTCCACTGGCATATTGAATAATTCCTTCAACACATTAAGTGCCTCAGTTGATACACTTTCTGAAACTCCATGGTCAATCACCTGCAATTCCAATAAGAATCATATCAGATAACAAATTTAGAGTCGACCACACGATCCATTTTCAGTAAGTCTTCATTTAACAGTCAAAGAAAACAAAAGAAGACCTGAAAAACCCCGAAATTTTGACCAGCTTTAATGATTTTCTGAGTTGTGTCTAATTTTTCTGGACTGTTAAGGTTGATGATTGGGATTGCAGTGCATGTAGAAAAAGGGAGTTTCCCTGGTCTGTTTTCTGGGGGAAATGTGTAACTGAGAGGCACAGATTGGACATCAAACCACCTAGAAGAATGATCCTCCATTGTTGCCATGGAAATCACTTAAGGGGAGACTAATTTATATAAAATTTTCTCAACTTTGCCACTAATATGATTGACCAACCAAACAATCAATAACCTTATCAAGCATCTTCTAATAACAAGATTTAGCAAATTTAATTTATCAACTTGTGCACCATCGAAGTCACATTTCACACTGGGTGATCCCCATTTGAATTTTTTAATGTTATTGCTTATGGTCCCCATGTGATTACTTCTATAACAAAAATGCAAATATATATATATATGGTAGGGTAAATCTTAAGAAAATCATTAAACATTTTTTTAAATAATGCTTTTGACATTTACAATTATTCGAATTCTCCTAATAAAGTTAATTTGTGGGTATCAATTAGATATTCATTTCAAGACTTGGACATCAAATTGAGTCGAATCAAATTCACAATCACGAGCGAAGGTAGAGAATTGTGAAAGAATGAATCAATCCACATGTCCTAAATCGAAGCCATTGAGAAAAGAAAAAGAACGACACTAACTAAATGTAAAGGGATTCAATTCTTAGAATCTCTTTTCTTTTGATTAACAACTACGTTACTTTCGTCTTCGTTACTCTCATAATTTTGATCGGTGTTTTTATATTTATAATTATTATCGTGAAAGAAATATCAATTCAAAGTTGTTCTAGAATATTGAAGAATGATTAATTACTGAAAATGATAACTAATAATTTTGAATTACCAGTCGTATCAAATTTATTTCTTAAATATGAAAGGTATGAAAATAGGGCGTTGCAACGTTATCTTATGTCATCGTTTTCCATGTAATTAGTTTATAAGTAGTGATGTACATGATGTTGATCGTGCTAATAATTCTATGTGACAATACTTTTTTTATGGGAAATGTCACTTTCACCCACGTCAACAACATAAAAATATACCATAGTATGAATGTTGCATTTTTTTCGAGGGGAAAGGGACTAATCAGTTTGACAAATCTTAAAAAATAAGTGAAAGAAGAGGAAATTTAGTGCAATACAGCTTTTGGTTTGATTTATTTTATAAATTGATATGACGTCAAAATTTAATATAGTAAATATAAAATTGTTACTTTGTCTAGATGCATGTACTGGATTATATCATAATGTAATAAGTAATATTACTTTTAAATGCTATTAGCCACCCTACTCTAGCGTTTGCCAATTGTCAATCACGGATCATGAACTCCGACAATTGGTCAACATCGACACGTGCTTCAATTTTTGGTATTTTCACCAAATTTTATCATTGTAACCCTAGTTTCGATGACAATATCTCTCTAATAGAAGTTGTCTCTAATAGAAGTTGATTCTCAATAACCAACAATAGTTGATAATAGATTTCTAGTACCTATAGATGATTGTCATGCGTGCCATCGACCACGAATCACTTAGTACAATACGTCATACACCACTTTGGTTCAACTAGATAAAAGTGAAGGCAGAAATGCATAATTAGTCAATATATTTCTAAAAAATAATAGTTATATCAAAGGCATCAATCTAATAGGTATATTCATATACTTTGTATATGCATATTATGAAAATGTGAAAATACAACTTTCAAAGCATTCACAAATATTAGTTCATGTAACTTTTGAGCTTATTTTTGCAATCAAATATTTTCTTGGCCTCACAATGGTAATCACATCACCTAGGTTATATTTTATTACCATCGACTCGACAAGATTAAAGAAGAAAAATTCACAGAAAGATCTATCAATTTCTATATATCTAATCCAATGTATCAAACTTGTTTATAAGTTGCCTTTGTAATAAAACAAGTGAAATTAGCCGGGCTGCCATACTAGCCAAAAAGGAGTGCACAAGCACTACAGTTATACAATAGAATGAAGGTTGGGAGTTATGCATCACATACATTTGCATATTAATAATGCATAAGAGACAGATAATCTAAACTAAGAATTAAAATTAAGTCCCCATAACCTGCTGAATCAGAAAGTGAATTTGTTAGCACAATTTAGCACCCAATGTAGAAATATCATGAATTCCCTGCCCATTCTTGAAGAATTCAGAACTCTCAAAATTATTTTCTTCAACGAGTATAGCTATAGGGTTGACAGGGAACAAAACAAAAACAAAAAAAAATAAAAATAAAATAAAAAATAAAGACACCATAGATTTTGGCCGGATTTTAAATGATTTTGATTGGCAAACGGGTAAAGTCACTTGTGTGCTCTTCTCATTCAAGTTTGGCCTATGGATGGTTCATGCTCATTTTGAGATGAGTCATGGGTCGAGCACGGCCCCATTTTATTCACGAGTCCGCTCATTTTTGGGCTTCTTGTATTAATTTCTTTAGAAAGTACAATCTAGTGGATGGTTCGGTTTGGTCCATGAGACTCACGAGTCAAAGGGTCCAACCGAGCTTAGTTTGTGGACAGAAGTTGATCTTATGTGTCAGCTAATTCGACCCATGATCACCTAAATGTTTGATTTATCATAGGAATGGTCTTGCTGCCTGATCAACGCCTTTTCTTGCCTGGTAAATTTGCAATCACAGTTTCAAACTTCATCAAGTATAGCATATGGGTCATTAATAAGTTACTCCAGATTAGTAATCTACAGGTCTTCAACTGTTCCATTCTAGTACAATCTGTTCTCCATTCTTGTTAAATAGTAACACACTTGGAAAATAGTCTATTTTACGGAAGACTTTGATAAATAAATGCTCGTTATCCTTTAAATAATAATCTTTTCCAATCTCAACTCAAGTCAATATACTAAATTCATAATTTTGCTAAATGTTTAAGATTTAATAAGTTGTTTATGCATTTTGATTTAATAAATTAATACATATAGGTATGCGTAGTAAAAATATAAAATAGTTTTTAAATTATTAATTATTTATTTTATCAAAAAATAAATCACCGTTCTAAAATGATAATTTTTTCATCAATCCACTCAACTAAATTCCTCAAAAAATTGTTAAAAACGAAAAAAAGTAAAAGAGCAAAGAAGAAAATAAAAATTGAATTATTTTACTTTACCTTTAAGCACTAATCAATCTTCTCTTTTGTTCTTATAAAATATAATTTTGTGTTATCGAGAATTATATTCCCCAGATCCCCTCTTTTCCCTCTACTGATACGCACGCTAAGGCACTAATTGGATTACTTTTCAATTTCCAACCGAATGAAAACTAGTGCTCGTGAGGTCACCCAATTCCAATATTGTGGGGAGAATTTAATTGGCATATGCAATTTATCACTAGACGCATCCAAAAACCAAAGAAATTATTAGTTTTAAAATATTAGTACACTGTAAAATGTCTTAAATAATCAGACTTACTTTTACGATCATAGTTTGAATGAGTATTGATGTGGAAAGTTTGGTTACGTTCGAACACTGTATTCCGAGAATGTTTCTCGGAGAACTCTTGTGATTCCACATCTGTAGTGCTCGAGCATTATCTCCCCGTGATATAATGCTCGAGCACTTTCAGCTTTGTTGTATCCTCATTTTCATGATCCTGTCCTCGAGCGAGAACAGTCCTCGGGAAATATTCTCCTCGCAGCCTATGATTGTTATTATTGACTCAATAGGATTCCTATGTAGTTGGGACTTTAACTCTACCATATTACTTCAATACTTGACTCCCACAAGGATTCTATCCTAAACATAATCATGGCATTGGTCCAACTCCTTCACCTAATAGGACTCTGTTGGATAGAGATACCCAGCTAGTCGAGTGCCACTTGGAGAATGCCACCTACTAATATAAATACAGGACCATAGGTCATTGTTCAAGTACGTTTTCATTATTCCCTAGTTTATAGCCTCACGCATATAATTCCCCTTTCTGATTTAGGTATCGGAGGGGCGACGAGAACATACCTCGTTGCCTTTATTTCAGGTACCAGAAGACCACGATCGTGCTCATTCATAGTCCTCAAGCTCGGAAAATCAACAGGTACGATTTTTTGTAGTATCATTGGCGCCGTCTGTGGAAATGGCCACCAAAAGCCATGGTTAACACACGATCAGGTCTTCCTCCAGCAAGCTCATCCGCTACCGCCCCTCATCCTACTGAGGATCAACTGGCTCCTCAAGAAGAGTCGTTAGGAGTGCCCGCACCCCAACAAGCAGTCGTCACAACTGAAGCTTTCGAAGAGCTACGACAGCAGGTTGCCACGCTAATGCAGCTGTTAAGTCAAAGAAATTCGCATCCGTCACCAGCACAAGCAGAGCATGGTGATTTTAAGGCTAGTGCTCGAGCTCGACCACCAAACCCGGCAGCTGGCGGAGTAGAGACCTCGGGTATTCGTAATATGGCCTCCGGCTCGAGATCGGTTGCTATGGATTCTGGTGAGATTGTCCGGATCATTCAAGAAGGAATTACAGCTGGCCTACAACGGAATGCTCGGGAGCCAGGGGGTTTTACCCCTAACACTCCATTCACGCCGAAGATATTGTCATATCCCCTGCCCGACAGATTCAAATATCCTCACATTAAAGAGTATGATGAGACGATCGACCCAATCAACCATCTCAATGTATATACTGATGTCATGAATTTGCAAGTTGTGCCGGATCAGGTTATGTGCAAAGCCTTCCCGCAAATGCTGACTAACGCTGCTACGAATTGGTTCTCGACATTGGAGCCAAACTCCATAGCCTCATTCTCAGATTTGGCTGATAAGTTCTCAGCCTTCTTTGCAAGTAACAAGTGAATTAGAAAGACTGTGGTCTCTCTCATGCAACTTTGCCAGGGACCAAATGAAACCCTACGAGGATTTATGACGAGGTTTAACAAAGAAAGACTTCAAATACCAGACCTACACATCACAGCGGCTGTATCCACCCTCATTTACGCCATAAGATGTGAAGCCTTTAAGATGTCCTTATCAAAGACCCCGCCGCAGACTGTAACCGAGCTCCTTACTCAAGCTGAAAAATACATTAATATGGAGGATACGCTGAATCCAAGGAGATCTGGTCCCTTCCATGAAAAGCCCAAGAACAAGAAGCAACATGATTTCGTTTCCCGACCAGAGTATCTTCGGGAAAAGCGCAAGAATGAAGGTCCACCAGGGCCTCTCACCCGGTTGAACACCTCCAATGCAAATATCTTAATGGAGATCAAAGATATGAAAGAGTTAAAGTGGCCTTCGAGAATGAAGTCGCCCCCTGATACAAGAGATAGGAGCAAGTATTGTGAATTTCACCGAGATCATGGGCATACCACAGAAGATTGTCAAACCTTGTAGCGGGAAATTGAAGCCCTCATTAAAATAGGCTCTTAAGGAATTACATTGGTCATGATAAACGCTCGAGGAATGACCGTCGGAATGAGCCTAGAGCAGGAAGCAGTGCTCAACTCACTGCCGGGACAATTAATATTATCATTGGAGGCATAGTATCTGGAGGAGACACAAACAGTGAGCGAAAGCAATATGCCCGTCAACATGCTCATACCTCAAGGGAATCCCGTGATAAACTCGAAGACATTACCTTTAGGGTAGGGGATTTGGAAGGAGTATCATATCCTCATGACGATGCCTTGGTTGTCTCAACAGTTGTGGCCAACTTTGAAGTAAAGAGGATTCTGGTTGATAATGAGAGTGCAGCAAACATACTCTCACAAGGCTTTCACTAATATGGGAATCTCTCCCAAACAGCTCAAAGTAGTAAAAACTCCTCTACAGGGATTTGGTGGTGGAGTCATTATCCCGGAGGGCATCGTCGAGCTTCCGCTTACATTGGGTTCTGGCAATGCACAAGTGACGGAGATCGTACCCTTTCAAGTGGTTAACACTTTTATATCTTACAACATCATTTCGGGGAAACCCCTACTGAACAAGATCCAAGCTATTGTATCAACTTTCCACCCGGCCATGAAGTCCCCGACAGGCCATGGCATTGAAATAGTTCGAGGAGATCAAACAGCTGTCAGACAGTGCTATGTTACTAGCATTCGAGAAATAAGTACAGATGTCATGCAACTTTCAGACCTCCAGCTCGAGCTTGAGCCAAGGGGTAGACTTGCCCCGATTGAGCAATTGGAAGTGGTCGAGTTCGAGCATGGAAAAATGGTAACTATTGGTTGGGATCTCAAGACCAGCCTTCGGGAGGAAGTCATCAATTGTCTATCCCGCAATATCGATGTTTTTGCATGGAAGGTCGAGGATATGCCAGGGATAAACCCTGAAGTAGTAGTCCATAGACTCAATATAAGCTCGAGGGCCAAACCTGTTAAGCAAAGGAAGAGGCAGTTTGCGCCAGAAAGACGTATGGTCATTTAGGAAGAGGTCAGCAAACTGGTGAGAGCGGGATTCATAAGGGAAGTCCAGTACCCCGATTGGCTCGCTAATGTTGTTCTTGTGAAGAAGGCTAGTGGTAAATGGAGAGTCTGCATCGACTTTACAAATCTCAATAAGACATGCCCTAAAGACAGCTACCCGCTCCCCAAGATTAACAGTCTTGTGGATAGCACATCCGGACATAAGTTGTACAGCTTCTTAGATGCATTCTTGGGATATCATCAAATCCTCATGATTGAGGAAGACCAAGAGAAGACTTCATTCATGACTAATTCAGCTATATATTGCTATAGGGTGATGCCATTTGGGTTGAAAAATGCTGGGGTGACATGTCAGAGGCTCATCAACAAAGTCTTCATTGATTTGATAGGGAAGAACATCGAGGCCTATGTTGACGACATAGTGGTAAAAAGCAAGAAGGTAGAGCAGCACATATCCGACCTGAAGGAGGTGTTCGTCACCCTATGAAAATATCGGATGAAGCTTAACTCAGAAAAATGTGTATTTGGTGTAGCTTAGGGAAAATTTTTGGGCTTTATGATCACTCACCGGGGGATAGAAGCTAACCCCGATAAGATCCAGACTTTGGCAGCAATGGAATCGCCCAAAACTAAGAAAGAAGTGCAAAAATTAATAGGGAGGGTAACAACCCTAAATAGGTTCATGTCTGGAGTAGCAAATAGGTGCTTCTCTTTCTTCAAAATTCTTAGAGGCAGCCAATCCTTTGAATGGAATGAGGAGTGTGAAAAGGCTTTTCAGGAGCTGAAACAAACATTGGCGTCTCCTCCTATCCTCACTAAACTTGAGCCTGGGGATACTTTGTTATTATACTTGGCCGTGTCTCAAAACGCAGTAAGCGACGTCTTGGTGAAAGAGGTCAATAAAGACCAGCAACCCATTTACTACTTGAGTGAAGTCCTACTTGATACGGAGACTAGGTATACTTTGGCCAAGTAGCTTGTTCTTGCCCTAATAGTGGTAGCACGAAAGTTTCAGCAATATTTTCAGTCTCATCTCATTGTGATGCTTACTAATCAGCCTCTGAAACACATCCTTCAAAAGCCAGACGTCTCAGGCGGGTTATTAAAGTGGGAAATTAAACTTGGAGAGTTTGACATAGAGTTCAAGCCCCATCCGTTCATCAAAACCCAAGCTTTAGCGGACTTCATTGCAGAACTCACCCCAAAGCCTCGGGGTCCAAAAGAGAGCTCGAGCACTACAACAGTTGTTAGACAAATTTTTGTGGATGGAGCATCAAACTCCTTGGGCTCAGGTGCAAGGGTCATCATAACGAGCCCGGACATGCTCATAGACATTCAGTGTGCACTCAGGTTCGAATTCGAGGCAACCAACAATAAGGCAGAGGATGACGCTGTCATCATAGCCATGGAACTCGCCATTAATCTCGAACTTGAAAATATCAAAATTTTTAGTGATTCCCAGCCGGTGGTTGGGCAGATTGACAGAACATTCGAGAAGAAAGACGAGAAAATGAGCTTATACTGCTTAAAAGTTCACGATCTCCGATGAAAATTGAAAAGTTGTGAAATTGTGAAGATTGCTCGGGCTGACAATTACAAGGCAGATGCCTTATCAAGGTTTTATGGGAGTAGATGGACTTGACAGGACAGTACATGTCAGATTTGTGACCGAGCCTAGCATCAATTCAACCGTTAGGGTCATGGACATTGATCACGAGCCATCATGGATGGACCCAATTCTGGACTTCATAACAAATGGCAATCTTCCAGAAGACCCTCAGGCATCAAGGAGCGCTCGGTCAAAAGCTCCAAGGTATTGCATTATTAATGGAGTCTTTGTTTCGCAGAAGCTTCACACTTCCGTACCTTAGGTGCCTTAAGCCTTTAGAATCCTCCTAAGCCCTAGAGAAAGTTTATGAAGGGGTATGTGGGAACCATCAAGGAGCTCGGGCATTAGCCTTCAAACTCATAAGGTACGGGTATTACTGGCCTATCATGAAGAAGGATGCCGTGGAATATGTGAAGAAATGTGATAAGTGCCAGATGTTTGGCAATGTTATCCGCTCTCCCGCAGAGGACCTCACCAACATTAGTTGCTCAGCTCCGTTTGAACAATGGGAGATTGATATCCTCGGTCCGTTTCCAATAACTAGAGGACAATTGAAGTTTGTAGTTGTAGCAGTGGAGTACTTTAGGAAGTGGGTTGATGCTGAGCCCTTGGCAAAGATCTCAGAACCTAAGATGAGAGCTTTTATTTGGAGGTCCATCATATGCAGGTTCAAGATACCAAAGGTCCTCATAATTGATAACGGTCGACAATTTGACAATATACAATTCAAGGATTTCTATTCCAACCTAGGGGTTAACCACCGCCTGACGTCAGTTTCTCATCCCCAAAGTAATGGCCTAGCCGAGGTCACCAATTGGATCATATTGCAAGACGTCCGAACAAGGATTGGAGATGCAAGAGGTTCTTTGTCCGATGAGTTGTCTTCCATACTTTGGACATATAGAACATCCCACAGGACCGCCACCGACGAGAGCCCCTTTATGTTAGCTTTTGGAATCGAAGCTACCATTCACATTGAAATAAGATTACCCAGCCAAAGAAGACTTAATCTCGAAGAAACAAGGCACACCACTGAACATCTCGACCTCTTGGAAGAAGTTCGTGATCGGCCAGCCTTAAGAATAGCCTCTTACCAAGACAGAACAACAAAGTATTTCAATAGAAGAGTAAGGCTGCGAAGATTCAAAGCTAGAGATTTGGTGTTGAGAAAGGCTGAAGCCGCTGGTCATGCTTCGGGAAAACTTGGACCAGTTTGGGAAGAACTCTTTGAAGTCATACGATAGGTCCCAGAAGGTACATACAGTTTAAAAGATACTTCAGGAAGATCACTCCCAAGACTATGGAACGCCGAAAACTTAAAGGTATATACAAGTAACTCGCTTCACCATGTTTTAGAAATAAGGCCTGCGTGCCAAATCTATTTTCCTTTTTATCATTAATAAGGCCTAGGTGCCAAATCTATTTTTTTTATCCTAAGGCCTGTGTGCCAAGTCCATTTATAGAGTTATATTACATTTAAATTCGATGATATGATCACTACAAACCAAAGCCTTACCCCGAGCAAGCACCTCAAAGCCTTGCCACGAGCAAGCAACGCAAAGCCTTGCCCCGCGCAAGCACCTCAAAGTCTTGCCCCGAGCAAGTAGATCAAAAGCATTGCCTCGAGTAAGCACTGCAAAGCCTTACCCTGAGCAAGCACCTCAAAGCCTTGCCCCGAGCAAGTAGATCAAAAGCCTTGCCCTTAGCAAGCACCTCAAAGCCTTGCTCCGAGCAAGCACTTCAAAGCCTTGCCCCGAGCATGCACTCGAAGTATCCTTGCCCCGAGCAAGCACTCAAAGTCTTGCCCTAAGCAAACACTTCAGAGGCCCCAAGCAAGCATCTACCAAAATACCAATCAAGGCAATGTAAAATACCCGAGCACATAACATTCCCGATCACGTCGGGCACAAAACTCGTCAAAAAGGCCCAGCTTGTTCTCGGGAAGTAAGCTCGGGAATCGCACTTTCATGGACCGTGGCTTCCCTAGACCTTAGGAACATGAGAACAAGATCAATCATCAAAGGTAATGTATTGATCGAGCTTAATTACTTTGGGCGTCTGATCTATGCTTAACAAAATCTTCAGGATAAGGACCCGAGATTAAGATCGAGCTTGTCACTTATGATCAAGGTTCGTCAATTATAATTGTCATTTCTTACAATTTAGTCCTCGAGATATTTTTCGATATTTAGGAATGACCTTAAGATCGAGCTATTATCTTTGTCTGAAACTTCATAATGGATTAAGTCATCACGATTTCTGAGCAGATTATATTCCTTATTCAGTTGTCGGGGTAATATGATAAAGATCGAGATCATTGTCATGATCGAGTTCATTACTTGGCATTAAAATTCTTATACAACTAAGTCATCGATATAAATCCTTCTACGATGACTTATCAAACGATCATGTCCTCGAGGAGGCCATTGTATCATATCGAAATTAGTGATCGAGCATAATGTAAAACGGACAATAAAAATAAAAAAAATAATAACAAATCGATCACTCATTTCAAAAATTCGAAGGAAAATGCCCGAGGTTATGGACAAGCATGTTCATTACATCATCGTCAAAATATAATCGTGGAAAGGGAGTTGTGATTTTCTACTCTTGGTCTTCATCCCTAAGAGCAGCATCACCCTTCTCTAACGTATCCTCGTCCTCGATCGCCTCGTCGACTGTGTTAGAATCAGACAGCTCGAGGGTCTCAGCTATATCAGGGATCATCTTGAGCTCCTCAGGGGCAACCTCTGGCATCTTCATCCTAAGAAAGGCCCGAGCTTCTTTAAGGGCATGAAGGTACGAGCCTAACACATACTTGCCCTTCAGCCTGTCCATTTCCTCGGACTTTTTAAAGTCCTCGATTGCTGAAGCTCGAGCCTCCTCAACCTTGGCCCCAAAATCTTTCTTGAGCTGTTCAAGCTCGAGCTTTAGTTCTTCAGCTTCGTCCTTGGTAGCCCCCACTTCATCCCGAGCTTTTCTCAGCTCGTTTCTTGCATCCTCACGCTCCCTTTGGAGCTGGGATCGAGTAGCCTCGACATCAGCAAGCTTCTTATATCGTAGCTCCATAGCCTCAACCAACCCTGCCACCTTGTGGGATTCATCCATCCCTTGCAGTGAAAGTCCTCAGGCAATGCTCAGTGTTTAACAATAAAAAAAGAAAGAGCATTAGAACGGGAAAAATACTTCGTACAACATCATAAAGGGGTCAATACTTACTTCCAAGGTAAGAAGCTCGAGGGCCTTCATGCCCTCGTCAAACCCAACGTCGCCTCTGTATTTTGCAACGATGCTCGGGACCAAATGGCACCGTTCAAAGTCCTCGATGATCGAGGCAACAGGAGGAATGGAGTCATCCTCGAGATCAACAACCTCGGGAGTTACCCGAGGAGGAAGTGGCTATGAAGACCTTGGAGTTGGTCTGGGAGAATTCCCCTGTCATCGAGGAGGAAGAGGGCTCGGAGCTCGAGGCCTTGAACTCGATGATTCTCCCGGACTTCTAGGAGGAACTTCAGTTGTGTAAACTCAAGGTCTCTTTTTCTCCTTCTTCTAACCTGAAGCCCTGACCTGGGGCTCCTTAGACTTCGAGCTCACTGCTCGACGTAGAGCTGATGGATCAAAAGACTTCTCTGCACAAAATTTCAAGTGTTAGGCAAGGGCACATGATCGAGAAAAAATGAATAAATTGACAGAAGAATAAATATCCTACCCTGGAGGCCTTTTGCACACACAAGGTTGAGGATGTCATCCCCGAGAATATCATCTATATCATACACCAAGGGCTCAAGATCCTCTAACATCTGTCGATCCCTCTCTAGAGTTTCGAAGTAGGCCTGTCCCTCACAAAACTTTGCTGTGTCCGGGATATCCCACAAAGGCCAAAAAGAGAGATTGGGATCTCGAGCTATAACATAGAACCATTTATCTTTCCACCCCTTCAACGAACTAGGCATCCTCGGGATCCTAAAGGCACCTCAAGAAGAAAGGTAAGAGAAACATGTAAACTTAGAGAGCTGTTTAAGCTCGAAAACCATTCGACATAGGTCGAGGTATGGCGTGATACCTATAGGCAATGAAGAAGTAAACGAGCATTCTCCAACCATTGGGCACTAATTGTCCCATGCACATGGAATGCTTGACCAAAAAACCAACAAAAAACGGATGCATGCGCCATTTGAACCCAGCCTTTAAAGAGTCCCTAAAAATCACAAACTCACCTTCTCGGGCCCTATTCATTCTATCCTCAGGGTCAGGAGACCTACAGTCATTGTAGGGCATAAGCCCATATTCGCTCGTCGCCTACATAACTAGATGTTCTTTAAACCTACATTGGACGTCGAGAAACTTAAGGTCGACAACGTCTGGCTCCCTAGGTCGAGCGTCTAAAGGAACAGCTGCAGGTTTTAACTGAGCCCTACAGTCCCTAGAGTTATCCGAACTCTCAGATCCCCAGTCACTTTCAGTACTCGACATCTCTCTTCAATTTAAAACTAAAGAAATAACTTAAAAGTCCAGAGCCTTATCTCAAGGAACCCGATGCCCAAACAACAAAGGCTAAGTTTATAGCTTGACCTCGATCTGGCACTTGAAGATTCACAAAGAGTAAAAAGTGAAAAATGAACAGAATCATGGGGTATTTATAGAACCTTGGGGGAAGACCAAGGGTCACATCAATCTCAGCCGTTGGCCCATGCCACGTGTCTCCCATCTAAGGACCCCTTATTTTTTACTGGGACAGCTCGCGCTCTTGCTATCTCCACACTGACTTCCCCCTGAACACATTAAAATCCCAACGACATCACTTATCAGCAAATCGAACTCTATGCATCTCGCACCCTGGCTTGACTTCCTTAGCCCGATCCCAGGGTAGGATGCACGGGGGGAGGGGGCAGTGATGTGGAAAGTTTGGTTATGCTCGAACACTGTATCCCGAGGATGTTTCTCGGAGAACTCTTGTGATTCCACATCTGTAGTGCTCGAGCATTATCTCCTCGCGATATAATGCTCGAGGGCTTTCATTCTTGTTGTATTCTCATTTTCATGATCCTGTCCTCGAGCGAGAATGGTCCTCGAGAAATATTCTCCTCGCAGCCTACGATTGTTATTATTGACCTAATAGGATTCCTACGTAGTTGGGACTCTAAGTCTACCATATTACTTTAATACTTGACTCCCACATGGATTCTATTCTAAACATAATCATGGCATTGGTCCAACTCCTTCACCTAATAGGACCTGTTGGATAGAGATACCCAACTAGTCGAGTGCCATTCGGAGAATGCCACCTACTACTATAAATACAGGGCCATGAGTCATTGTTCAGGTGCGTTTTCATTATTCCCCGATTCATAGCCTCACGCATATAATTCCTCTAGCATCGGAGGGGCGACGAGAGCATACCTTGTTGCCTTTATTTCAAGTACCAGAAGACCACGATCGTGCACATTCATAGTCCTCAAGCTCGAGAAATCAACAAGTACGATTTTTGGTAGCATCAAGTATGAATCTCTGTTCAAGTTAAATTACACGATTGAGATTAAATCAAACTTGACTTAGAGGTGTAAACTAGATTGTGTTGAGCGGACAAGGGGACTACGTGCATGCCTACAACTCCGTTGTTCTAAAATGAAGGATTTTTAGTGTTTCTAATATATATATATATATATATATATATTTATAATATATATTAGTCCCTATGTCACTTTCACCTACTTAAATTTCGACGCTACATTTTTTAGGAGTTTCACTAAAATTCTAACACCTTAAAAATGTAATTAAGAGTCAAAATCAAAGGAAGAAACGACATAGGGGACATCGACATGGGGACTTGAGATTTGAACTCAAGAATTAAAGATGTCATTAGACACATTTGTTTTGTGGGGTGGGGACTTGAAGAATTAGATAGCTATGGCCCCATTTGAGAGGGATTTTGAGAATTGATTTTTTGACCGTTAGAAAAAAAGTGGAGTCCACCAGTAAGAGAAGAAATAAAAAATTACGATTGAAATAATAAAATAACGGGCAAAAAATTAATTTTTTTGGAATAAAAAATTCCTCCCAAACAGGCTGTATATCGAAGTTCTTGAACTCTTTAGACCGCTATATTTGACCAATTTTAATCATAATTCCTTTCATGATACAGTTTCATATTCAGCTGATGTAGATGGAAAGATTCTAACTTTGCATTTGAATTCTTGATATATTCAACGCTCTAAAATCTATACACGTTCGTTAAATGTATTTTTAAATTGTAATCGTAGATTCCTTTCTCATCTTCCATGTGTAAAACCAGACAAATAAGGAACCTTAATAAAGTTTTTAACAAGGAATCCTAAAACACTGCACGAGCAAATTGTTGAATGAGTCAAAACGTAAATGAAGCAACCTGTAAGTGAAAATATTCATATCCAATATTTAAACATTATAATGATCAACATATTAGTGGACAGGGTGATATTTGGCTAATGACAGTCATACACAATCCGTGTCTACATTTTCGCAGGCACTTCTCTTTGAAGAGGATCCACGACTAGTCAAGCCCTGATAATATTTTTAGGTAATGTTACTTAGTCCTACTAAGAGTGCTTATGTAGCATTACACTAAATTTTTTCACTCGGCATCGAATTAAACATCATGTTCCACTGGTTGTGCAGGCTTTCGTGTCGAGTTCAGTGTATCAAGCCAGTTACGAGTATTTTCTCTCAAAATTTTGAAGTGTCACGTTCCCAACACTGCCTGTCAAACATCTAAATAAATAAGTCAACTAGGGTTTTCTCCAATTCCCATGCCCATGTCTCAGCCTCTTCAAACACATGGTACAAGTCTTCCTCAAAACTTTCCTCATTTTCATGCAATGTTGTCCATTTTTAATGATTCATTGTGTGTTTGACTTTTGAATTCTCCATAAAACTGATTCATCACCTTCCGCTACCCCACCCACTCACCTCGTGTTCTGTTTCATCATTTTCTTGATTTCACACATGATACACCAGCTAACATCATGATTCTGAATTTCTAATACATTAACTGTTCATTCCAATTTCAAAGTTTTTCCTCAAGTTCTTGCCAATGGGCACCATTAACATTCAAGAATCTCAATCTCCTACTCCAATCAATAGCCCTTCTCCTTCAATATCCAACAATGGATTCCCAATCCTAGCCATTGCAGTATTATGCATCACAGCAACAGCTTTCTTACTAATCAGCTACTATATTTTGGCCACAAAGTGCTGCTTCAGATGGCAACAGTTTGACCCTTTGCGGCGTTTTTCTTTTCGACGACAAACGAGGAACGATGATCCATTGACAGCCTACTCTCCCTCGTGGCAAAGCCGAGGCCTCGAAGAGTTACTTATTCGAGAAATCCCCACTTTCCAGTATAGTAAAAATGCCGAAAATGGGATCCCGTCGAAATGTGTGGTGTGTTTAAATGAATTCCAAGAACATGATATACTTAAACTCCTTCCCAAATGTAATCATGTTTTTCACTTAGACTGTGTTGATATATGGCTTCAGAGCAATGCAAATTGTCCTCTATGCAGATCAGCCATTTCAGGCAGAAATCGATACCGGCTTGACCGAATCATTGCACCAAATTCTTCACCTCAAGATCCACAACCCTTGAGCATTGCGGGAAGTGAGGAAGATTTTGTTGTGATTGAACTTAGTAGACACCAAGAAAGAGGTGGTTCAAGCAGAAATCTGGATCCTTCAAGTACAACTCATTCATCAAGAAAGTTTGATCAGAAGATTGGCAAATCAAAACCCAGAAAATTTCATCATGTTTCAATCATGGGAGATGAAGGCATCGATGTAAGAGAAAAAGATGATCAATTTTTAATACAGCCCATCAGAAGATCTTTCTCAATGGATTCCGCAGTGGATCGACACGTTTATTTGTCAGTTCAAGAAATCATGCAGCGAAATGGACAGCTGTTTGAGGTAAGAAACAATGAAGAAAGCAGTAGCAGAGGATATAAATCAATTTTTTCATTTGGACACGCAAGAGGATCAAGAAACTCTGTTCTTCCTATTTGAATTTTTTTTTTTCTTTTTTTGTTATATTAGAAAAATCTTAAAACACGTTTACTTGTTATTTAGTTGCAGAATTTTATTTGGATTTGATACATTTTTCTCTCTATAGAATAGTAATCAAATGACGTTCTTAGTTTGCAGGATTGAACTATTGTGTAAATTTATTTTATAAAGAAACTGATGCATCTAACAAAAGCCTAGCCTAATTTTGGTCGACTCCCAGATTCGGTCAAACGATGTCTAGATTTTTTAAAAGTAATTTTTATATTAATCTCTACCCTTATTGCATGTTTGGTAAAGGTTAAGTTTCAGATAATTTTTAAGTAAGTTTAACTTACCTTTTATCCATATATTTTATAAAATTCACAATATACTCTCCACTTGATCTCCATTCATTCGATGAGACTCACAATTTATAAGTATTAGGACTTTGAATTCTACTTTAAAATGTCTATATTTTTAAGAGTATTTCAAACCCTTATATATTGGTCTATATTTCAACATTTTATCGACATGAGATTTATCTTTTAACATGCCTTTAAAAATGGTTGCTTACTTGAGCAAATCAATCTTAAATTTTGGGTGTTCATGTAAATCTTAATCGAATAGAATTACTTGTTTGAGTTTAATAGACTCTGATACATTATTAAAATTTGGAGTTCCATCATAAAAAATCAATTTTATTAAGAGAAATAGCCTAACCCCCTCAAGCATTGGTCTATATTTTCATATTTTGTAAATATGTAACATACTTCTTAATAATAAGCACTTAAAAAAAGTTACCGAACTAGTCAGATCTTGATTACATTATACAAATACAACCATTAGGGACTACTTATACGAGACATGTTGAAGAACAAATCGAGTCTTCTCGAATGTCTGTCACATTATCTGTATTCTAAATGAATCGACAAAGTCTAGATTTTAAAGATCTTCATGAATCAACGAGTTTTTCCTACTTATTTCATGACATTTATGTATGAATCAATAACACTGAAAAATGATTTGCGAATTTTGTGTTTTTACATTTTCATACATGCTAACAGTCAAGACAAAAACGATGTAACGGATAAAATTATTTAGTTTTCTTTATCTTTTAAAAAATTGTTATTGAATTATCTTCATTCTTTTGACAATGGGTGACAAAAAGAGTAGGCACCATGCACGGGTTAGAATAATAGCTAAGCCATCATGGGTGGATAAGAACGTGTTGTGCTAACGAGACTCTCCTTCATGAATGAAAATGATTGTGTTTCAACTTTTATGTTTTAGAGAATGCAATGGCAAACAGGCAAAAAGACAAAGCTTTTCCAAACAATGAGAAGCAATTCAAGACTTTTACTTCAAGTTTACTTATGCTTCAGTCTGTATCCTTAGTTTGACTTCCAAGATCTTTTTGACATCTGAGATAGTCTGAAAATAGAGGAATCGATGTATATTATTGAGCCTGTTAAATCACAAGAAAATCATTAGAGTCTTAGACCATGCTAGGATGTCAGAAGAGAATTGACACCCTAGCTGACAGATCCTCACAGTCGAGGTGTGTGGATGGAATTTTTTACATTTTTTATTCATGTGGGGTCGGCACAGGTCCCTTTAACATGTGAGTATCTATCAAAACAGTGGGCAAAATCCTTCTGACAGCTTGGCATTTTCCTTAAGGTCTCTAAGTTCACACAGATATGGTGTCAGAAGTAGCCATTATAAAGTCAAATCAGTGTTTATGGAGAGGGAGAAGTTCTCTAGAGTATTTCGGAAAGATAGATCAAATAGTGGAACTGGACATACTTTCATCTTAGGTAATTGTAATGGTGAAGATGAGGATTACGAAAATTCTTGAAATTTTGTGAGATATTAAGAACAAGATATTGTGGTTGGAGGTGGCTTTATTCATATCTCGGTGACTTCGACTAAACTCATTGGATTTGGGCATAGTGTAGATTTTTCTATATTTACACTTCATCATTAAACTATAAAAGGAAAAAGTTGAGCTATTTAGAGGAAAATATATTATTATACTATTACTTTGCGGGTCCATTGGACCCAACGGTCCAAAATCAGCCTAAAAGGAAAGTGGGCTGTACAACATTCATTTCTAACCATTTTAGGCTTCCAACGGTCCAAAACTCACTTCCCGTTGCGTAAAATGACATAAACATCCTTGTTGAATTCCCGCGAAGAAGTGGCGCCAAGTCTGACCTGGCAACTCGCCACGTCAGTTTCCCCGCCAAAAAACCCTAGTATATCTCTACACTTTCTCCAAATTCCCCCAATTCACCTCCGTTTTACCTACTCTTTGTGTTGTGTTCACTTCCATTCAGTGGTTCACCTTTACTGTGTGTGTAATGGAGTCCGCTAGATCGCCAGATGTGGATTTGATGAAGTCAAAGAAGGCCATAAGTTCACCGGCGCCGTCGGATGAGAAGGTCCGGATGAAAGCTCCAGCTTCGGATCCAAATCCAATGTGTGTCAAAACCCCCGGGAAACCTGCTGATCCGCCTCGTCGTTTACGCAATCGAAATGCTGTGCTGTCAATAAAAGAAATTCGGCAGGCAGCCAATAAGCTCCGGGAGCAGGTTCTTGACCCGCCTGCTCGACCCGACCCGCTTATGAGTTCCTCTAAGTCTACGGTCGGCACCAAATCGAAAAGGAAGAAGTCTAGTGATGCTGATATAACGCTTCCTGAAAAGTAAGTGTCTTTCTGAAATTGCACCAAAAAAAAAAAAAAAAAAAAAAAAAAAAAAAAACGGAGTACAGGGACGAGCTTTATTACTTTTTGTTTGTAAAAGATCTGGTATTCTTTCGATTAATTAAAATGAATGCCATTGGTGAATCGAAGAATTTTTTTATTTTATTTTTTGCATTCCTAATATCAAATGTTGGGAATACTGATGTTGCGTATAAAGGATCTTCCAAGTTATTGATGAAATGAGAGACGGGGGCATTACCCCGATATGCTTAACCATAAGTCTGGACAGTTATTTTTTTTAGTCTGTAATGTCTTGATTAACTTTTGGCAATTAATGATAAATGTCATGTCTGTGTTTCAGGTACGAGTTATTGGATCAATTCTTCAACAGCTTAGATAGCTCCATCAGGCTGCTACACTTAAAGAGATCTGCTCCAAGTTTTAGTAATATTAGCCCTCAGATAGAGAGATTGACGGATAGGTGCATAATTAGTTTCAGTAAAATATTTTCTGTTATGATGATTTTTTGCTTCTGATTTCCTTAATTTATTGTATGGTTAAATTTTCAGGAGGTTTACATATAGCCATTTAGCTCAATTGAAGTTTATTATGCCCGAGGCTATTGTGTTAAAGAAGGTTCTCCTGCATGATGAGCGCACTAGTTGTATGAAGCCTGATCTTCATGTTGCACTAAATGTTGAAGCGATCGAGAATGATAGGAAGACGAAATCTGATAATGGGAATCTGCAGCTGAGGAAAGTCTTTCGAGCTCGACTGTTGGCTTTTGTAAAATCACATCCACAGGTACCATTTTTGATACTTATTCAGCGCTTCTTAACTGCATGTTGTTACACATGATATTTATGATTAGTTATGTGCAACTTTGATGATAAGATTTGGAAAAATTAACTAGATCAATCTCAATAATCGAACTTGACATTCTTCTTGAGAAACTTAAAGGCGTAATTTTGGGTAGCCTGGCTATAACCTGATTGTACGTGTATAGCCATAACCTGGATGAAGAACATGACTTGGAATTTTGTTTACTTAGACATTAAAAATTATATGGATCTTATTGTATTATATGAAATGAATCAGTTAGAGAAGGCCATGAAGATGTGCGGATTTTACATTCAAACCTAAAATAAATTAATCTTAAATAATGTTTACATCAGTAAGAATAATGGACTGAGATTAAATAATTTTTGTTTTGAGAATTGAGGTTAAAACAGAATGCTATGAATTCTCCGCCTGCATAAGAAAACTGTTCATCATATCTAGATGGGTTCTCATCTAGAAATAAAGCCAACCATTTAGCCATACAAGAAATGATAGCTCGTTTCAAACTTTTGCATCAGTCAATGTATTTTTACTATATTCTGGTTCTGTTGTTTTGCTTGAATCTACGTGACTTACAAAAGACCATATCTGAAATCAGGGGCATGAGGTCCCAGAGGAAGTACTACCAGAGCCATTCAGTCGGTTGCAACAGACGAACTTATTTAGAGCCTCAACTTCATCATTGAGGAGTGAGACATCTGCCATGGAATTGGCACAAGAGCATCCAGCTGCAGCAGCATCGCATCTATCTCAAGCTTTCAAGAGGTCTTTCTCGCGACCAGGCTCCACCCATTATGCAGAAAACTTGAAGCAAGAGTATTCAGTTGTCTCCATCCATGCTCCAGTTGTTTCAGAACCTAAGCTTGCCAAAAGCCCTCGTGATCAGGAAACTAGTGCATTCGCTGCCAATTCTCCTTCCAATGTGTCCGTGAATCTGGCAAGCGTAAAATGCTCAGCCAATGTGGCTTCATCAGCTAGTTCATCACCATCTCCTCTTATGGAAACCCCAGTAAAAAACATGAATTCTTCCAGTGAAATGTCTACCACTCGAAGAACTCCTGCGGAACTTGTCTATTCCCCAGCCGAACTGATGAGTGCCACTCCTGTTCTTCGAACACCTAAGAGACGATACATGAGCCCAAATGATGATTCATTTAGATCACCAAGTAAACTGGTCCAGCGTCCACCCCGTAGTAAGAGGTCTTTGATTCTTGACACCCCTGTGAAGAGCGTGAAGATAGAGGATGAATTGAGTGAGATTGGAAAATCGTCAATTGATCTTGAAGTCTTTGACATTCTTCCAGAGACACTTGTCGAATCAGTAAACACTGAACTTCCTATTTTGTGTTTCTTTAATTAAAATTAATTTTTACTTAACGCATCTAGATATTTTAGTGCATCGTACAGCAACTATATACTTAAACTGATTTTGTAACGCAATCTACAATGCCCCCACAGATCAGAGCAAAAGAGAGGAAAATATCATTGGAGCAGGATCCAGCTATCTCTCAGGCA